TTTGATACCCAACAGAGAAGACTGAATTTCAGGATAAGCCGTTTATTTTTACCCTAGGTTCTAGATTCCGGTATTGCCAGCTCGATCTTGATTTCATTTATAACCCATATCAGCAATGCCGGTAAATACTAGTAAAAGCGACTCCATCACAAGGTATATTTAACAAGCTAGCTTTTACGTTGCTCTGACACTCAGGGTATTTATTTTGCTCCTAGGGGAAAGTGTATATACATATATACACCAATCTTGGACATAACGTAATTTTGTCCATGTTCAAATGAACAGCAAAGTGTCGCTTTTGGCTATAAGATTTCCGATCCCCTAAATGATTAAGTTGACCATATGTTATAATAACTTGCGTCATTTTAAAGACATATCAGGGACCAGCATCAGTTAACAGGCCACAGTAAAAATGTAAATCTGGAATGTAATTTTTATTAATATCAGAGAACAGGAGACTTGGAGACTAATTATGTTCTGAAACGGGAAGGAAATACAACACATGTCCGTATGATTAATTTGGTGAAATTTGCTGAAGTTGAAAGTTGGAGATAACTTCTTGCTAAAGAATGCTAAAAGAATGAATAGGGCGACAATGCTCATTCGGGCATTTTCAAAGTGTGAACTTGAACTTAAACATACCCTCTACCAGGGCGAGTGATAGATTTTTTACAGATATTCACAGATACATGTATGTCTCTAGCTAGATAGATGGTCATTTAGGGCTCAACTCTGCTTTCTTTTCACCCTTGTTGTTTTATGAAGAGCAGAGTAATTTTCAGGCACTTAAAGCCCGAAATTGAACGATTTGTATAGTTCACGTGTACGGGAGATCATACTTAGTACTGAAGTTGAAAATAGAAACGATGGTAACGCACAATAACCCGTTTTCTTCACCCATCAAAATTTGCTACGAAGAACAATTTTAGTGTGTGCCGTAAATAATCCCTGAGATGTCCAAAAAACATGACAATACTATTCTGAGAGTTTTCTTTTCCATAATGTAAAGCTGCAAAACAGACAGGTACGTTTGTGTTCCAGATTTTGAAGAAAATTTTCGGCTAAGAATTAAAAAATTTAAAATACACAGCAATGTTTGGAGACATAATTGTTTGATGGGACAAATACATCCCCTTTCACATGAAAGCGTATTTTAAAAATATATTATTTACACTATGTAATTTACGTATATATACGCAAATATATATTTTAATAACTTAAAACTTTTGACGCACACTACACGCTGAGTGTTGAAAGTACTTTTTTGGTTTGTATGTATGTATGTTGTATATGGAATAAATCATAAATGTTAAAAGTAGAAATATTTTTAAAAATCTCATGCGAAGAGGTATTTGATTGTAGTTTCACTTTTTTGCTATTACTTATATATTATACGGCTAATAATAATTCTTGTGAGAATATGCTATTTAGTTGGCTGGGGCCTTGGCCAGTACAAACACATGTATGTTTCACTGGATTTAATTCATTTGTGAATGTATATGTAAGTATAAGAAAACCAGACACTTCTCTTTGTAAATTTGTAAATTCAGATAATTTTAGCTTTGTATGTTTACAGACTAAATCTTAATTAAAAATCTTTATAATAAAACTTTTGAATCCACTTGTGATTCTGATTTTTTTTTTGTATCTCTTTAAAATCTCCCAAAATGCAAAAGTCTGATTGCCTTCCTGCTGACATCTTAGTTTGCAGCGTCATTTAGATTATGGTTGCACCAGCCTCGTTACAGATATGTACATTACTTCCGGCCAGTTTATTACCCAAGGCAATCTAATTTGTATATAAGAGAAAAACGCAGTATATTTTCTTGATCACATTTCCCATTATTCTTAAAAAGCAATGTTAAAAAACTTTGAAAGATTTCATCGACACGCGCTGTTTGTTAAGGGCATCATTGTAAAAAAAAACTTTCATATAACAAACGTGAATCACGTTTCTACGCCCAAGTCATAAAATTGTAAAATAGCCCAGAAAACTGCACTTGCCCAAAGTAGGTCAATTGCCTGTATAAAAATCCCATACGATTATCGATTTCTTGGGTAAGGACGGTTTTGGGGGAAACACACGAAAGAGAATTATCAAGATGCCAGCAAAATATTTGGGACCCCCTGGAACAACTGAAAAGCAGAGTATTTTGAAAACTTTTTAAAGGGCAAAAAAACTGATCAACCTTTCCAGTTTTGCGACTTAAAACTTGGTAACATTGTAGCAGACTCTATATTTGATCTGTCTCTCCCCGAAATGTTGCAGACCGCGTTAACTGTTTCGCAGAAGATAAACGCGGGATATGAACAAGGTAACGATAGTGTTAAAGGAACAAGGGGCAGGATTGGGTGGATGAATGGGGGGGGGTTTACTCCCGTCACTTTTTCCAGTCTCGCCAGTCTTTAGAGCTGGATGCGTGGGGAACACGCCCATTTTTATGCCGCGTAAATATATACATATAGGAACATATATTCTAACAGTTGAAATAATTCTAAAAACAACACGAGAAAAAAGTATTTGATTGAATGTTCCCTTGAATGTATTATTTTTATGCTATTATACTTATATATTATACGGGTATCACTGCTAATCAACTGAAAAAAGCTAAAGCATAACGAGGTAAATTTTTCCAGGCTTGAAGAAGGAATTCTTCACCCCACCCAAACCCCATCCTCTGCCCCTTTCTATGAGGTTTTTTATGTCATTCAAATCAAAGAGATAGTGTCTATTTCTATGTTCAAGTAGACTGCGTCGAGACTCCAGAGTGCACAGTGCCATACAGTGAAAAGGAAGCCATGCCCGGTATGTGTATTGTGAATGTACCAGCAGGGAGGCAGATGTTGTTTTATATCATTGGCCAGTCATTTAGAAATAAAATTATGAAATCAAAGATTGGATAAAATATCGAATCCTAATACACGGACGGGTCGAGCAATGATTCGTATAAATTACCTTTGAATAACAGAAATTTAAAGATTTACTAATATTTTATACCCCCTCTGTCTTTTAAGGATAAAAAACTCTTGGTATGAGATTCATATTTCTCAGTTAATACATTGTTAACTTATAGAAATATAATAAATTCTTTAAGGTCTATTATTGCAATTATTCTGGAATTTTCGCTTTCCATCTGACCACGTTACCTTCATAGTTGTCTACCCTCTATAATAATATCTTAAGAGACTATAACAAAAAATAACCAAACTTTTTATTAAAAAAGGGACTGTGAATGTCGGAACGGATTCATTAACCATTTGTAAGTACGGGAAAATTGTCGATTACCCCAAGAAAATCCCTTTTTGGTCAAAATGAACGGTTGTTATTCCTTTAGTGTCTTTTTGCGCCAAAGAGGTAGTGTTGGAAAAGTCGGCTGTGGTTTCAAAAATTAAAACAGAATAAGAAACGACTATTCCAAAATTACATGAGCAATGTCTCTCAGGACGCAATGCAATGCATGTTCCCTTTTCAGGATGTATTGAATGCATAAAACTAATATCTGTAAAACACCTTCTCTGGACGGCGTCCTTTCTGCGTCCTTTGTGCGACCATGAAACTGGCATCGCTGTGGTCGTAGAAAGGATATTTGGTCTAGCATCCTTTTAGGACAAGCTCCCCATTCGAACCAGCAACTTATTTTCCTAAGTGGCAAACACTGGATCCATTTGACATTTGACTACAAGGATTACTTTCTTTTCAATAAATTTGTATATTTGTAAGTCCAAACGTGTTTGAAAATAAAATAAATCAATAAATATAAATGTGTATGCGTGTGTGTGTGTGTGTGTGTGTGCGTGTGTGTGTGAGCGTGCGGAGGGTAGGGATGGGGCAGTGGAGGATGAACGAACAAAGAAGGCTGCCAGAAAATATCTCTGTACCCGCCTCTGATTTGTATGCATCACACACTGGTATGCATATTCGCATAGTAAAAAAAAAAAGGTCAAGAAATTTGATTGGGCACTTCCTTATTGTCTTTAAAACCTGACACCAATCAAATTCCATTGTTTTTAACGCAATTAAAAGATCATTCCACTAAAATGAAAATAACGACGATTCGGCTTCTCACTGTGATCAGCTCGTCCAGTTAAAAATGGTCTCTCTAGTTAATGACATTTTGATTATCGAATCTACTATAATCTGCATTGTTTTCTAATTGACAGTTGTATAAACTACGAAGTCTTTCTCATTTTAATGAAAAAAATCGTCCAGCAGCTTCCTAAATGCAACCGAGTGACGTCACGACGCACCTCGCATTCTTTTTTCTTAGGCATAAGCGTTACGGTTTGCACCAAAATAGCATTCTATTTCTACGCAAGTTTGAATTAAAATCAGTATTCGTACATAAACTCCTAATAATCTAGCATATTACAGCTACCGGGACGTGCAAAACCTGAGAGCTTTAGCTGTGACTGGGTTCCCATACCTAGATACCAGGATCAATCCATCTCCAAGGGGTTTCTCGCTTAATTGCTTTCAGCTTAAGCGGGTTAGATGTCTGGCACGCCTACTGAAGCTGCAAAACGATAATAAATTACCCCCTAACAGCTTCAGTGGTGATTTCAGACATCTAAGCTGCTTAAGTTAATTGCAATTAACCTAGAATCCCCTTGGAGATAGATCGATCCACAGTTAGTACAATAAGGTCTGGGAATGGTTCATAGGTTTTCCCACAATGCCCGTCAAATTTGAAAATAAGCCCCTTTTTGATTTCTACCGTTACGGGAGAGAAAATTTGTCGCTCTTTTCCTTATGACTGAACAGTTTGAACAGGAATATACAAGGTGGAGGTACTGTCGTGTGTGAGCCGTCAAGGCAAAAAAACTTCTTTTTTTTTACTTTTTTAAAAAGCACACTCAATGTTTTGCCTGTTTAATTTGCACTTCGATTGTTTTCCAACATTATATTATCTTTTACCAATACCAAATATTTAATGTGCCAGATGCAACAAATCCGTTACTAAATAATATTTCATGTATTTGATAATTATTAATGTCGTTTTTATGTATAATTTTTGTCACACATTTGAAATGAATTCACATCTGACCATTAGAAATAAAGCTTTATTTGCTTTCCTTTGTGTGATTTGGTCACTTTCAGATATGGCGGATCATACCATTATTATTGCTATGGAAACGTTTGAAAACAGAAACGTCTCCCTTCAGCAACAGCACATCTCACTAAATTGATCTTTGACCCAGTTGTTATTAATTAAACTTTTGTTAAACAAGTTTTCTAAATATTCAAGCAAAATAAAAGAAAATTGTTTGAGAAGAACATAAAACACCTTGATGTGTAAATATCAGTAATGTTACAGTTGGGAGAGCACATCAACATATGCAAAATAAGGCAGGTTTTCTCTTTAAAAACACATACAGTGTACTTATACTGTTACATGCATGTCAGTCTTAAGACCTAGATTTTGTGTACACTGGAATATGCCAACCAAGTTTAGCACCCAGGCCTTACAAAACCACAAAATGATAACATAAAAAAAAACTAGAAAAAAGAAAAATAGCCTGATATTCCTCAAGATGAAGCATTCAAAACTTCTCTGGTGGCTGCTATTTAGTGGAAAAGTCAGAAATCTAGGCCAATGATATTTTTGGTTCCAAAAAAGTTGGAAATACGCCAATAGTGTAATGACTGTACTGACCAATAATGTATTGTAGACTTCAGTCGTATTAAGTTGCAAATAAACTTTTTTTATCGTATATACCTGTAGTACTAATAGCTTGTGAAAACTACCACCTTTCAAAACACTCCTTCTTTGGGTTCAAATATGAAGTAGGAAGTGTTAATTAAAAAACCTGGCAACATTCACAATTAAGGCAACTGAAAATGTACTTATTATACAACATGACAATTAATTCTGTGGAGACTAACTGTAATACATAATATGACAATTAATCCATTAACACATAGAGATGTCTTAATCTGATGCTTACATCTCAACATTACATGCACAGTAGGCTACATCTGTACATGGAGGCGAATAAGAAGTGAGACCTTAAATGACTGTACTACAAACGAAAAACAAATTAAGGTCAATGAAGGTCTCCTAGTATATTTAGTTTATATTTAGTTAATGGAATTTGAACTTTAAATAATAAAGCTAATTCAGCCATCCTTGTTGAAGAGCTGGAAATGATTAAAGTGTCGATAAATCTGCAGCAGTCCACTTAATATATAATAATAAGTTGATTGCTGGTTGAAAACATAGTTTTCACCTTTCACAGGCTTAATATTTCCAATGAAGCAGATTGCTAGTTATTCCTTTTACGTCAATGGAAACAAAAATCTGCAGTTTGCACAGTGAGACTTCCAACTCCATTCTTTTGAAAAACTCTCCAAAAGTCAATCACATAAATCTGTCATTAATTCATCCCTTGATGACTGCTATAGGCCTAAGTTGAATACATTTTTTACTTATGCCAGCTGCATGACCTGGAAAATAAAAAGACAGTTGAAAATATTTGTATGCTGAATAACCGATAAATTGAAGTTTTTTCATTATCTGAAAAATGCTCATTTTCCACTTTCAAATTAGTCTGTTAAAGACATAATCTTTAGTTATCTTCCTTTTTAGTTGGGAATCTCCATCCTCTTTCTTTTTTCTTAGACCATTTTGGCAAAAATTAACTTTATGAAACTCAATTTTTTCATTATTTCCCATTTCAATAACTATCCATCACCATATAACAAGTTTTTTTGTGATTTTCATTCAGATAATCTAAGAACAATCTAATCATCTAAAGGCCAATAATCATGACACAAAAAAATGATACATATGTGTTCAGGTTCATTTTCTTGTAGTTTTGAATCTAAATTATTTGAACTTCAACAAATCATATTTTCACTCACATTTTCACTTATTCAGGGATATGTTTTAAACATTAAGATGTCAGTTCCTATGAAAAAACGTAAAAAAAAAATTTGTTCCCACCCCTGCAAGCAAAATAAAAGAAAACATATCCTAACTTACAGGTATCCACAACATCTGTTACATTTTTGTACGACTCTGGTGCTTCTTCCATGACTAGTTTTGGTGAGGCAACACGAATGGATATCCCTTTTTCGGCTAAAGCATCTAGAACCATTGTGTAGTCAAGATTCCGTCGTGATTTGGCTCGGGAAAGCGCTCTTCCCTACAGAAAAAAAGTAGGTATCATATTATGTCAAAGAGTAAACAGGTAACCAAATATACAGCCATTCAGTGGATAAAAAATGCACTAAACTGCTTATTCTAATTTCTCTAAAACTGTCCAAGAGATTGAAAAATGCACTAAGAGATTCAAAAATGCACTAAAACGTTTTATAGCTATTAACCCAGTGACATTTAAAACAAATCTCCCAGCGGTAATCAATTCATAACATTTTTTCATCAAAATCATTTTTTACTTTAATTCTCCAGTTTTTAATGTGGTACAATCAATTTTAGTCACAATGGGCACAATATAAGTCTTTAAAGTACACATATGTGACTTGGTGACACCCATACATAATGTAGGAGCTACATGACAGAGGTGTTCCAATTTGAAATACCAAGGTAGCAAAAATGCTTCTACTTACTGCCCCATGGCAAGTAGATCCAAAGGTTTCCTGCATGCCATGTTCTGTTCCCGTTAACACATAGCTGCATGTACCCATAGTACCCCCTATTAACACTGGCTGACCAGTTAACTGGAGGGAAAAGAAGAAAAAAAATTGTGTTAATGGCAGCTATGCAGATTTAATTCTTCAGACTGAATAAAAATATAATATTCATGTTTCAGGTTTTGTACAAAATTGGTGGTTGTATATCAAAATATTTCATTTTTCATTTTGTTTGCTTTCTGGAGAATACTTTTTTAACAACTAGCCACTGAATTCTAAGTGAAAATTAGGTATTTGGCTAAATGTCTAAGTGTGCTGCAATTTTTTTAATTGACCGGAAATTGCACTGCAGATGTGATGGAATATATTGGAGGATCAAGGGTAGCAAGAAGTGGGAAGGGTGGGATCTAAGGGGCCCCTGAATCAAATGGTGTGTTTTTTTAAACCTTACTGGCATCCCTACCCCCACCCCCTAATACTACATATCATCTAAAAATGTGCAACTACAGTTATTCTTGTATAAATTTTGTCAGTCTAAAACAGGTCTTTTCTTCTGTTTGGTAGAAGACTGAATCCCTTTGTAAAATAGAGGAGGGAGATAGGGAGAATTGGATCCAGCATAAAACGACAACAAACCTGATAGTCCACAGGGATAAGAGGATGGTGTGGAGGAAATGCTCTGGTTGACCCCTTCCTGTGCACCAGTAACGTCTTCTGCTTCCCATCTATCCAGTGTTCCTCCACTTTGGCAATGTTATGAGACACATCATATATAACGTGCATATCCAGGTCATCTGGAGTGGTGTTGAACATTTTGGCAAAGGCCTGCAAATGAAGAGAATACAGAATGCTTAGACTCTTGTTGTGGATGATTGTTCTATGTTCTAATGTTACAAATCAGAAAATGTCTGAAATGAAGCAATGATTAACACTTCTGAACTCCACATTCCCAAAATGTTAAGAATATCAAAAGTAAAATATTCAAACTAAAAACATTTTTACTGCCACCAAAGGCCAAAATTGACCTGCAGTGTAGAAACCACTGACCTATCAACACAGTTGACCTGCTGACAGCTAACCTAAAGGCAGAGTTGACCTGCTGACAGCCAACCTTATGGCAGAGTTGACCTGCTGACAGCTAACCTTATGGCAGAGTTGACCTGCTGACAGCCAACCTTATGGTAGAGTTGACCTGCTGACAGCTAACCTTATGGCAGAGTTGACCTGCTGACAGCCAACCTTATGGTAGAGTTGACCTGCTGACAGC